ATCACGTACTAACGAATGGATTCGTGTCAAACGGAACCGTTCCACTCTCGATGAGTACATCTAGAAGCGTCATGCACTTCTTACGCATGCCCGGATCCTTGTGCGAAAAGCACAAGAGTTACAAAAGAAGAGATGGTCAAAGAGCCACAAAGACCTAAGCAGGTTTGGGTGCCGAAGGCCAAAACAGCGTCTCTACCCAACAAGAGACACCACTCATGTCTCTTATTCAATTCTAACTCTACGCTGTTCCCCAGCCTTCGTCAACTTTAGATCCCGCTCCTCCCACTCGCTCACCTCCGACCAAGCCCTACGACAGCATGGGTCTCTCCAAATTCAAAATTCCATTGAAGAATCGCCTGGATCCTCTACACAAAGATCAAGGAAAAACTCCTGTCAAAGAACGTTTAAGACCGGTGAACAAATCCCGAGCAACTCTTCAAACTGGGGGTCGTACACGACCTCCCAATAAGACTGTTTATATAATCACCCGCTTGGGGGTACATATAGAAGGCCAGGAGCCCGTTAGGGTTTTACCTTCACAAAGGTGTGATTCCAAACGTGTGACTCCTGCAAACGCCAACAAGGCAGCAAATTCTCAGAAGGAAACGTGTTTGTCAGACGACGATGTTATATCTGAGACGATCCTAACTGTTTAAAGGTTTGATATTTCAATTTGTGGACATCTCGTTCATAGAAGAATCGAGAGGGGATTTTGGTTGTGGTCCTAACTGTAGGAAGGTTTGCCCGATGGACAGTGGGAGTGGGAGTACAAATCACAGTGAGAGTGTTAACTTGTACAAATCACTTAGTAGGGGTTCTTGGTGTCAAGTGATAAGGACTTAATACGGAAGGGTTTGATAATTGTCAAAGATTAGTAGACTAATTTCGAAAGTTCTTGATGAAGTCGTCGATCGTCTCTTCGTCTTCTTGTTTCTCCTCAAAGAGTGTCCTGATGGATACATAATTGTCGTCATCAAAGAAATTGCCAAGAAATAAGCTTTCCATGTCGTTACAGCTGTTGATGCTTCCAGGATTGAGACAACGGTACCAATCGAAGACAGGCTCATGAAGGGTGCCAACGAATGACCGGACCATCAAAGGCTTGTTGCTAGAGATCACTCCCAAGTGGGACTTAAAATAAATCAAGTGTTGAGTGGGATAACCCTTCCCGTCGAATGGCGTGAACTTGATCAGGCTGAATTTTGCAAGATACGGAATCGACTCCCACTCTCTTGGATAAGGACACGGAATACCGGTCTTCTTTACCTCTCGAGCAGACATCAGAGTGTTGATTTTATTCTCGAGGTCTTTCATCTTCTCGTCCTCGTTTGTATCATGCTTTGGACAATTTCTAAGAGGAATAACGCGGCCACCCCCGACATTATCATCTTCGGTGGGACCATCTCTAACGTCGCTATCTTTAGTAGGGCTACCCCCAGCATTTTGGTCAGCCAGGGGGTTGTCTTTATCAAGGTGTTCATCCACATCTGAATCGCTACCTGCTTGGTTAGCAATATTGCGATGGCTGGATTCACCAAGTTGATTGGACAGAGCCCGAATCTATTAGTCATGCTCTTCCTTCCTCCGCATCATGGTCATTTCTAATTCAAACTTGAAGTTCTCTTTTTGTTTAGCTAAAGCATCCTCGATGATTTTGACCATTTGCTCGGTGTTGATCATAAGTGTGTTGCGGGATTGTCCTAAACTGGATACCGTATTATCAGAAACGATTGTAGAGTTGGCATCTGATGCTTCATCATCCGAGAATAATCCCCTCTGCATTCTCTGAAAATCCCTTTGTCTAATGGTTCTCGATCGCAACCGGGTTAGATGATACGATATGAGCGGGTCAGAACTAGAAGGTCGAGTTAACTTTCCTCTATCAGCCATATTAATTGTGACTTTTGAAAATTGGTCATCTTGAACGGCTGATTATTTTTTGTGGAAACGTCTTGGCTTAGTATTCGATGCTTCATACAAAAGCCTTTGGAACACCGAGACTTTCTGTGGAACGGTCTTGGGGCAACTACACGCTGATAATACTGCCCTGATAAATTTAGCACACGGACAATGGAAGTCCGTTTTCCGGGTATCTCTCTTTCGAGATATGATCGTACCACCAGCATGATAGTATAACTCATCGGTATGATGGCCGGAGCTGTCTATCGTATATTGGCACGACTTCTCAGGTATAACGTCATCGTCCGACGAACGCCTTTCCTTCTGCGGACTTGCTGCATTGTTAGCGTTCTCAAGAGTCACACGTTTGGAGCCTCGCTTTCGTAAGCGTAGGACTTCAACGTGCTCTTAGACAATTACTCGCAGTCCGAGGCAGTCATTTATAGGAGCTTTCCCATTATAGAAAGGCTCTGACTTGTTGCAAGGGCGAGAGCGACCCCCATCTCGATGAGTTGCTCGGGGTTCATTCATCATGCCCAAGCGTTCTTTGACTTGAACTCTACCTTGATCTCGTACAAAGGACCTAGGCATTCCGCCATTGTCATTTTAAGTCGGGACAAGTCCGTATTGCCGTGGCACTTCACCGAAGGTACGGGATCAGTCGGAACAGGAGCGGAATTCACTGGAGTCGGAAAAAACAAGCGCGAAACACCCCCTGGCTCGGCCCAGGCGCGGGTCAGCTTGGGGTGACCCGCCACCGGCCGTCTTGGTCTTGTCCTCCTTTTGTATTTTTTTTTTGCTTTTTGCATAAGAATTCGCGCATGCGTAATCAGTACGCGGCGCTTTTGGATGCACTCCTTAAGGGTCGAATGAGTCCTTTTGACTTGGATCCATTCGTTCGTTGCTGGTTTGGAGGAGGGGCCAATTGATCGCTGTTAGGGTGCTTGGTGTTCCTTGAATTTTAGATCTGTCCTGTAACGGATCACGTCTACTGGCTCCAAAGCCTTAGCGAGTTAGCGTGCGAAACGTTGGCATTGCCTTCGGCGAGCTCTCTTCGACAAAGTTGGCGTACATCCGGTGGTTATCTCCTTGATTGATGAGGAGTACAGATCTACAGATCTGGTCTCGTTGGAGGTCGGAGGGGCGTTGCAAGGTGTAGCTATCGTAGCAACGAGGGCGTTGATCTTCCTGCGCTTGCGAGAGACGGAGGATCTGGAGGAGGAGGACGACAGATATTCCTCGTATTTCCATTGGTCGAACTCGTATTCGACCACTTCTTCACCCAGGATGTAGATCCGAGGTTGTGAACATATCAGCCTTCGTCGAAAAGTTGTTGGCTCCCACTGTGTCACCAATGTGTTTGGGTCAGAAATTACTTTCTTCATTGTGATTGAATCTATTATAACTTCAGGCGTTACAATAAACTCAACAAAAAGTTAGTCTTTTTATAAGACTTTTACACATAGAAATAACTGATTACAATCTCTTTCAAACAACATACAAATCCTATTTATTAGTCTCTGTTTGCGTGGGATCTTTGCCTGTGCCAGAGACGTTGATATCTGTGGACCGCTTACGGATCGGATCCGGTTGACAGAATGATTAATCAGAGCTTCTACTTCATAAAGGAAGTATTCGCTAAAGTACTAATATCGAACAAGTGAAATTAACACTCTTCTTGATATTAAAATCAAGCCTAATCTCAAGGAAAGGTGGAAACGGGCTTCAGATCCTTCGAAAAACTCCTTCTTTATACCGAAGTTCGCCGGGATCTCGCTAGTCCTTGCTAAAATTCGTGGCTCTTGGCTCTGAAGTTCGATAGCACCTCCTCATCTTGATAATAATTCATGCCTTGCGAAAGAAGGCCTTAGGCTTGTATTTATAGAGCCTCGGATGAAGGGTATTTGGATAAGAAAAAAGGATTTTACCCTATCTTCAGTTGACAATGGCCTAAACACGTATGAGGATTATATCACAGCAGTTGGGATACTCTGAAACAAAAAAAAACCAAAATTGTCAAAATACATATTTTCGGTCATCGGGGCGCAGGTCAGGTCGACGTGACCTACACCTATGCGGGTCACCTTGGGGTGACCCGCACTTGTGCGGGTCATCTCGTGGTGACCCGCACTTGTGCGGGTCACTTTGAGGTATCTTCGGTATTTAAGTCTTAATTCTCTCGTTTGATCTCAGATTGAGCTAGTTCAAGATGCATTGAAAAGCTAACGAAGAGACCTACAACTTTTATATTTCAAGATTTTTAGATTCGGAATAGGTCAAGGTCTAAATCTCAATTTTTTTGAGGTGACCCGCAAGTGTGCGGGTCACTCTGGAGTGACTCGCACTCATTTGCGATGCTTTTGGTATTTTGTCCTTAACTCTCTCATACAAGCATGGATTAATGTGATTCAAGAGGAGTTGGAAAGATGACGAAAAGATCTACAACTTTTATGTTTTGAGATGTTTCAGATTCGAAACGAGTCAGGGTCTAAATCTTAATTCTTTCGAGGTGACCTGCAAGTGTGCAGGTCACTCTGGAGTGACCCGCACTCATTTGTGATGCCTTCGGTATTTTGGCCTTAACTCTCTCATCCGACTTCGGATTAATGTGATTTAAGATGCGTTGAAAAGATGACAAAGAGACCTATAACTTTTATGGTTTGAGATTTTTTAGATTCAATGCTGGTCAGGGTAGAAATCTCAATTCTTTCGAGATGACCCGCAAGTGTGCGGGTCACCTTGGAGTGACCCGCACTCATTTGCGATACCTTTGGTATTTTGGTCTTCACTCTCTCATCCGACCTAGGATTGAGCTAGCTCAAGATATGTTGGAAATTTGATGAAGAAACCTACAACTTTTATGTTTTGAGCTTTTTCAGACTCAAATCATATCATAGTTGAAAGTCTAATCATTTGTTCGGGTCACCTTTTGATGTCAGAAAAGTATGCAGGTCATCTCGTGGTGTCCGGAAAGTATGCGAGTCACCTTTGATTTTTATAGCATTTCTGATTTTTCCTGGACTTGTACTTTCTTCCTTTTTACGTATTTGGTTGTCTTGTTGACTTGTACGCTTTGCTAACTTGCTTCATGTGCTCGATAGCTTATTTACGGAATTTGGAGCTGACCGACAAGCACATCGGACACGTGGAGCTAACCGGCACTTGGAGCTGACCGACAAGAACGTCGGGCACTTGGAGCTGACCGACAAGCGTGTCGGGCACTTTGGAGCTAACCGACAAGCGCGACGGACACTTGGAGCTGACTGATAAACGCGGCGGGTACTTGGAGCTGACCGACAAGTGCGACAGGCACTAGGAGCTAATCGACAAGCGAGACAGGCACTTTGGAGCTGACGGACAAGCCCGTCGGGCACTTTGGAGCTGAACGACAAGCCCGTCGGGCACTTTGGAGCTGAACGACAAGAGCGGCGGGCACTTGGATAATCCTTCTTGACTCAGATGATGACGTTTATTGTCTTCCCTTCGTCTCGAGCTGCGTGCAGATACCTATTAACATTTTTAGACGCCTACACCCACCATTTTTGTTGTCCGTCTCTTAAGCCTGTAAACAATCTTTATGGGATAGAATTTGAGAGGTCACTGATTGGTCTTTTCAGGTAACGTGCTCTTATGAGCTCGTTTTATAGCATTTAAGGAAAATCATGAGCACCTGTTTCAGAATTTATTCTACAATTAAATAGACTTGGTGGTGGTGGCGCACAATCAATAAGGCTTAGGGAAGTTTGTAAGTCTCTTGCCTCTTAACATCAACTATATCTTTGGCGTTTGTGATTGGCAATCACTCATAATGATGGATTTTTGTGTATTACTTCTGCAAAAGAATTTACTCCCAAAAAAATTGATCAAATAACTCAGTACTCTAGTAGCCGCTAGATCACTTCTCAAGATGCGTACTAGATCTCCGGATTTGTGCACTGATCAATGATCGATAACACCTTGTGAGGCACCAACAGTGTCATGGATCAGAACCACTGGAAAGCGAGTTTATGCAACTATACAGAGTAATTTGTGATGTTATGTTTCATTTGCTGAAACAATGTTGAAATTATAATCCAACTAAGAAAATTGCCCAATTTTGTTTTGTTATCTATTTGTAAAAGGTAGTATTTTGTAACCATTGTATTCATAAAAAGAAGACAAGGAAGTTTTGTGAACACCACAGAAGGTGCATTTGATAATACCCACTACAAGTATAGACAGAACAGTAGGTCGACACTAACAAAACTAGCCAAAACCAGAAGAGGAAGAAGAAGAAAAGAAAAAAAGCCAAGTCATCAAGCTATTTTCTTCCGTACTGAACAATATGCCATTGCTCTCTTCGGATGCCAGTTTGAATACGCATTTATCTCCTACTTTCAACTCATTAGGCTATTAGGTCGGAAAAGAATTTGTGTAGCCTTCAGTTAGTAACTCGCAGGATTGAGCTAACTACTGAAACTTTTAAGAAAGTGGGGGAAAAACTGCATGTATACCTTATTCTTTTGTTTTGTCTCTTGTTGTCCTCTTCTTTTTCGGGGTGAGTTCATCTGGAAGCAAGTTTTCATTGATGCAGTTAATTGCTCACAGGACTGAACTATATAAAATTAAATGAAACTAGAGAATACATTAAAATTGATGCAAGGTAAACAAAGAGAGGTTGCATATACATACCATGCTCTCCTCCGAATTTGACTCCTGACGTTTTCTTCTTCTCCTTCATCTTCTTCTTATCAATGCTTTCTTTCTTCTTTATTGAAACTTTCATCAACAATATGCCATTGTTCTCTTCTGATCCCAACTCGAATATGCACTTATCCCCTAGTTTCAACTCATTAGCAGCAGCAAATTTATTCCAACCAGTAGTTATACTAGTCCTAAATTTATTAGTTCTGTGCCTAAGTTGAACCTGCCAAGATCGTCCCTTAGGATCCATCAGAGTCAAACTGTTGTACTCTGTCAAACAATTGGCGGCTCTAAATTCCACTGGAATATTCTGTATTCATTCATATTATGTGGGAAATTACTCATTAAGAGAAATTTTTACCAGCAAGAGTTAGTTTACTAGTTGACTGTGTGGAGAAGAACTTAGAAAAGCAGTTTTTTGGTCATAAGTCGACTCATGCACAGGCATAAGTCGACTTATGGTAAGTCGACTTATGTTTGTGCATGAGTCGACTTACGGTCTGCTCTGGATTGTTGAATTTGAAGTCGACTTATCAGGTCTGATAAGTCGACTTATGATCTCTTCTCCAGTTGCTGTTTTTCGCTCTGCCAAGTCGACTTATGCAGACTGTTAAGTCGACTTATGACGGGTTTTTTGGAAAGTTAGAGTTCCTATTTGCAGTCTGTTTGGGTTTCTGTTTTGGTATAAATACCAATACGATTTGAGGGTTTTGTAGGAGCGTTTTGGGGGATTTTGAGCACAAAAAGAGAGATCTTTCTGAGCTATTTGTTAGGGTTATTGGTTGAGAGATTGAGAGATTTGTTGGTGAGATTAGTTGGTTCGTTTGAGCGATTTGTAATCTCAATTTGTACTCTCCTTCTCTATTTAGTGGAAACCCTCCCCTTCTTGCCCCGTGGACGTAGGCAATTGCCGAACCACGTTAAAATTGGTGTTTGGGTTTGTGCATTGATATTTGGTTGTTTTTGGCCTTCTTGGATCGGCGTTTGTTTTGGTTCCTCGGCGCCGCCGTCGGCACAACAAGTGGTATCAGAGCATATCGCTGTTGTTCGGCACAACAAGTGGTATCAGAGCTCGGGCTACGCTTGGGCTATTTGGAGGAGTAGATCGCTTTGGAAGTTCATCTAGGGCTTCGTTTGGTGATAAAGGTGGGATCTTTTTGGTAAAAATCTCGTCTTTTTCAGTTTGGATCTATTTCTCGTTTGTTTCCGCTTTGGTTTGGTGGTGCTTTGAGGATTATGGCCGAGAAAGAAGGAGTTTTGGGCAGTACTTCCGGCGTGAAGACCGTCCAAAGCTTGAATATCCACTCGATGAAGATTGACGTGGAAAAGTTCAATGGCACAAACAATTTTGGACTTTGGCGATGCGAAGTCATGGATGCGCTCAACGCGCAAAATTTGGAAGATACGTTAGAGTTGGACGGGAAACCGGACAATATTGATGAGAAGGTTTGGAAAAAGATGAATCGAACGGCGTGTGGTGTGATTAGGTCTTGTCTCACTCAAGATCTAAAGTATGATGTGATCAATGAGACTTCTGCAAAGAAGATTTGGGAGATCCTTGAGAGCAAGTATTTGACCAAGAGTGTGGAGAATCGCTTGCATTTGAAGAGGAGGCTTTACCGCTTCCAGTTGAAGAAAGGAACCTCCATTGGTGATCACATGAACCACTACACGAAGCTTCTTGCGGATTTGGCGAATGTGGATGTTAAGATTGAAGATGAGGACAAGGCGTTGTTGCTATTGAGTTCCTTGCCCGACGAGGAATATGAGACCTTCGTTCTTACTCTTATTAATGGGAAGGCATCTCTTTCGTATAGTGAGGTCACCGCTGCACTTGTGAATTATCAGCTTCGAAAGAAGGATAAGGAGACTTCGATTGAGCCGGTAACGGGGGCGTTGGTCGCAAGAGCAAAGGGTCCAAAGCGTAGTGGGAGGTCGCAGTCTAGAGGGGCACATCTTGGAGTTCGTAAGAATCAGTGTGCCTTTTGCAAAGAGGATGGACATTGGAAAGGCGAATGCCCAAAGTTAGTTGATCGAGCCGGGAAGAATAAGGGAAAAGCTATTCAAGCTTCAGAGGCGAATGTTGTCAAGGCTAGTGGCAACGATTCAGATTCGGATTCTTCGGGCTACTCGTTATCTGCACTGCCGTCAGTTTGTGTTGCCTACTCTACAGAGTGGATATTGGATTCGGGTGCTACATACCACATTTGCCCTAGGAGGGATTGGTTCTCCAGCTTTCAGGAGTTGGAAAGAGGGGATTTCGTGCTCATGGGGAATGATCACAAATGCTCTATTGGTGGTATTGGTACTGTTCGGATCAGGATGAGTGACGGGGTGATTCGGGAGTTGGTTGGAGTGAGGTTCGTTCCTCAGTTGAAGAAGAACATCATTTCACTTGGAGCTTTGGAGGCAGCTGGCTATAGGGTGACCTTGGCGGATGCACGCTTGAAGGTTACATTTGGGTCCATGATTGTGATGAAGGGCGTCAGAAGAAGAAATTTGTATTATTTGCACGGAAGCACGGTGATTGATAGGGAGATGATGACTTCATCAGATTCGGCTAGACTGTGGCATTGTTTGGTGCTGGGGTATATGATTGGTAATGCCGTGCATTGGTTGTTGAGGAGTGCTATGACCTGCAGATTGAAGTCCTGTGAGCACATTGGGATGAGCAAGACCGTGGTGGAGTTTGGCACTCCTATCCATCGAGCGAGGGGTCTTTTAGGAGGTGTTCAGTCAGGCATTTGGGGGCCTTCCAAGGAGGCATCATTGGGAGGTAATCGTATCTTGGTTTCCACAGTTGGTGATTGTTCTAGGCATTATTGGGTCGCGACCAGTTCCCGTTGGTGTAAAGTCCTAGAAGTCAACAACAATTGGAAGAAGTGTATTGGCAGAAAGGTAACTCATTGTTTCAGCTTTGGTAGGGGTCCTTTCTTGCGTTGGTGCCGAGCTCACGGCAATAGGAGACACTTCATTGGTGTGGAGACTTTGGGGCGACGAGATGAGATGACAGTTTCGATGGGTCGTTCCTTTCTGGAGGAGGATCGGCGTTTGATGTCGAGCATTGGCATTGGTGTGCGGGCTTCGACATATTTGGGTCATCTTATGCATAGGTCGCCGACTGCTGCTTTAGGAGTTATTAGATCTGGTGGAGCTGCTTCAGATTTTGGGTCGCGTCGGATATTTGGATACCCAGCATTTGGTCACATCGTGGATGTGAGATTGGATCCGATTGCGCGTTTGGGGTTCGGAGGCTCAGTTGATTATCGTTTGGGAGCTTCTGATTTTGTTCTGAGCAGGTATGTCACTTTTGACTCTCGGCAGGTGGAGAGTGTTGATCAGGTCATTTGGATATCGCAGCAGGTGGAGAGTGATGCTACTCCACGTTGGGTGGAGATTACTCCACATACTCCAGATCATACTGCGTCATTTGGGATTCCAGCTGAGGTGACACAGGTTGGGGATCATTTGATTTCGGATGCAGATGATGGATTGGTTTTGGATTCGGTGGTAGCTGGTGGACATGATTTGGATACGGCCATTGGTTTACCTCAGATGGAGGTATTTGATTTGTATCAGTTTGGGGGCTATCAGTTGCAGATCCGTTGGCGATATTGGGAAGAGTTGCAGACTTTTCTATTTGTTTGAGGGCCTTTGGAGGCCGTTGGATGAACTACGTGAAAAGTCGACTTATGTTTGTGCATGAGTCGACTTACGTTCTGCTCTGGATTGTTGAATTTGGGCTCTGGCAAGTCGACTTATCAGGTCTGATAAGTCGACTTATGATCTCTTCTCCAGTTGTTGTTTTTCGCTCTGCCAAGTCGACTTATGCAGACTGTTAAGTCGACTTATGACGGGTTTTTTGGAAAGTTAGAGTTCCTATTTGCAGTCTGTTTGGGTTTCTGTTTTGGTATAAATACCAATACGATTTGAGGGTTTTGTAGGAGCGTTTTGGGGGATTTTGGAGCACAAAAAGAGAGATCTTTCTGAGCTATTTGTTAGGGTTATTGGTTGAGAGGTTGAGAGATTTGTTGGTGAGATTAGTTGGTTCGTTTGAGCGATTTGTAATCTCAATTTGTACTCTCCTTCTCTATTAGTGGAAACCCTCCCCCTTCTTGCCCCGTGGACGTAGGCAATTGCCGAACCACGTTAAAATTGGTGTTTGGGTTTGTGCATTGATATTTGGTTGTTTTTGGCCTTCTTGGATCGGCGTTTGTTTTGGTTCCTCGGCGCCGCCGTCAGAACAACAGACTGAGTGTTACCATGTAAGGACGAACTAGGTTGCAAGGCCATATGGGGACCTCAAATTTGTTTATCCCTCTTGGAGGACTTGAATTGTTTCTCTTCATCATCTCAGTGTACCCCGAGTTCATGCATCTCTTAATAGTGGGTTCATCTGGAAAAGAATTTCGAGCATGTGAACTTCAGTTAGTAACTCACAGGATTATAAGTAAATAATTAATAAAGCTTCAAGTACACAAATAATAATAATTTCATGTATACCGGATTCACTTGTTTTCTCTCCTGATGTCTTCCTCTTCCTTTTAGGGATGAGTTCTTCTGAAAAAAAGCTAAATGAAGTTACATGACTGCAAGCTAATATATTACATGACTGAACTATAACTAATTAATGAGATAAAGAATTAGTAATAAATGACATATACAATGTAAACAAAAGAAAGAACGCATACACATACCATGCTCTTCCTCGATTTTGACTTCTGAAATTTTCTTCTTCCGCTTCACCATCTTCTTCTCATCAATGCTTTCTTTGTTTTCCTTCTCATAACCCTCTTTCAGAATATCTAGTGCAAGAGATTATTTTTCATAAATTGCGTACAATCGATAAAGCATAAACCAAGATATATAGCAGTGAATTAAGTTTGAATTTATATATGATACATCCTCCTCATTGGCAACTTTTATTTCTGTTATCTTGTTTTGCTAGTTAAGCCCACAAGGTTTCCCAGAAGAGTTGGTCAAAGTATAATCAAATGGGAAAAACAATTCTATATATACCAGATTCTTTCTTATTCTCAATATTTTCTTCTGGTGTCTTCTTCTTCTCAGGGGTAAATTCATATGGAAACGAGCTTGGATTTCATGAATGCAGGCATAAATGCATGCTCATGTAAGTTAATAGCTCACAGGATTGACCTAGATATATATAAATTAAGTAGAAAAGAGAAAAGCATATCATTCGGGTGGGCGGGGGGGTGGGGGCGGCTGATATGCATACAGGAACCTCTTCTCTTCTTGAGTCTGCCTTCTAATACTTTCTTCTTTTCCTGCTGCTCCTTTTCAGTAATTTCTCTCCCCTTGTCCCCATCATCCTCCTCTTTGAGAACATTCAAACAGAGATAGGATGTTAGCTTCTATCAGATAGAAAATCATAGAATCAGCTATTAAAAACAGAATAAGCATAAATTAATAAATTAAATTTGCAGACCAAATTCTTCCTCATCTTCAACCATGATCACTGGTATCTTCTCCTTCATTTTCTTCTGTTTACTAATATTCTTACTTTTCGTATTGACTTTCACATTTTCATTACCATTATCATCGTGAACATCAATAGAAGCATAGGAGGTTATGTCACATGCACTCAAGTCATACACTCTAAACTTGAACAACGCATTTCCTTTGTAGCAGAACACTAGGAAGTATCCTTCCTGTAACTTATGTGCATGTATGAATCTTAGCCAGCCATCTCCACTAAAATACATGCAATTCTCTGAGTCATATTCCATATAAACATTGACATGCCATGATCCCCCATTTGGACTGATTAAGGTAGCTGTTTTTGTTTTGAAAATCTCAGCTTTCACAATCTGCTTGACAAAAGCAGTAGGAAACACCTGTATTCAAACAGTTACAAGTATCAAGATGTCGAAAAGTAAAAAAAGAGATAGAGGGGGAGAGAGAGGATCAAGAGCGAGATAGAGACCAGTTTCTTCGAGAAACCAGGCAAGAGAGGCTTGAAGAAATAAAGACTCTGAAACCCACCATCTTTGTTCTCCATCTTCCCAATGATATGGAGTAGAGAATTGGATGTTGCGCGCAGCGGAAATTTCGGCAGCACTTCGGCAGCACAACAAGAGAGTCAGGTTGCAATAAGAATTCTTGTTTCTCAAAGGGAATAAGAATCTGAAGCCTAATATCTCATCAAAGTGGGATATTAGCTCTTCCTCTCGTCAGCTCTAGGACTGCGCGTCGAGGGAACCTAAAAGCTATTACAAATCACACAAAAGCAGTACAACTAATTTTTACGTGGTTCGGCAAATTGCCTACGTCCACGGGGCAAGGAGGGGGGAGATCTACTATTAGAGGGAGAGATTACAACTAGAGTTTACAATCACTCACAAACTAAACCCTCAAACAAACTCTCAAATCCCTCACAATAACTCTCTACAAAAGGATGCACAAACCCTAACAAAAGCTGTTGCTTTATCTTTTGCACCCAAAGCCAATTTTCTCCTGCTGCGAATTTACCACACAACCAAAAACTCCTGCTCTGCGCCTCTGTTCCGCAGCCACAAAAGAAAACAAAACCTCCTGCTAACCAAACCCTATGAATTAACAAGTCTTATATAGGGACATTGGAAGTCGGGTCATGGGCCATCATCACGCGGAAAAAATTGAAACCGCGTTCACCTTTTTTTTTCTTCTTCAAAGCTTGCACGTGGGTGGGGGCCACTGTCCTATCCGCGTTCACAATTCTTCACATCGGTGAAGTTTTCTCAAAACTGAGCCGACACCAAAGCAACCAAATGTCCCACTCATTCGACAACAAGTCGGGACAATCCACAACAAGTCGAGAACCCGAACGAGAGTCCAAACAATCTCACCCCCATCAAAATCCAAACCGGCTGCATCTGAAAGACTGCCTACGTATCCTCTTGCCCAAGGAATCAAGCCGAACGTAGTTCACCTAAATGGCCACCAACGGTCTTAACAATCACGAATGTGCAACAAGTTTTGACAATGATCAAACTTGTTGCTCGGAACCACCTTAGTGAGCATATCCGCCGGATTATCCTTCGTGTGGACTTTCATAATCTCCACATCACTATCTTCAAGAACATCTCGAACGAAGTGATAACGAACGTCAATGTGCTTCGTCCTCGCATGAAAAAACTGATTCTTCGCCAAATAGATAGCACTCATGCTATCACAATGAATAGTGACGGACCTCTGCGATATACCAAGTTCCTCCAAAAGTCCTCAAAGCCAAATAGCCTCCTTCATAGCCTTCGTAACTGCCATATACTCTGCCCCCGTCGTAGACAAAGCCACCGTCGACTGTAAGGTGCATCTCCAACACACCGGTGCACGGGTCAAAATAAACACATACCCCGTAGTAGACCGGCGCTTATCCAAATCCCCTACATAATCCGAATCAACATAGCCAATGCATAACTGCCCACCTGTAGTGTCCCGCTCATAAACTAAACCAACATTGAGAGTACCTCGAATGTACCTCAAAATCCATTTCACGGCGTCCCAATGACCCACTCCTGGATCGTGCATGTATCTCGACACCATGCTCACTGCCTGTGCTTACCGCCTGTGACAAATCTGGCCTCGTACATACCATCGCGTACATCAAGTTCCCAACCGCACTCGCATATGGAGTCTTCGACATCAACTCTCTATCTTCAACTGACTTCGGTGAAAGACCAGCTGAAAGTTTTAAATGGGCTCCCAATGGTACACTAACTGGCTTCGTATCCATGCTAACATGAAATCGCTGTAGAACCTTCTTCAAATAAGTCACCTGTGTCAAACAAATTCTGCCATTCTTCTTGTCTCTGCCGATCTCCATCCCTAGAATGCGCTTCGCCTCACCCAAGTCTTTCATCTCAAACTCATTTGAAAGCTGAACTTTTAATTTATCTATAGCCGACCTGGAAGTAGAGGCAATTAACATGTCATCGACATAGAGCAACAAATAAATATACGCACCTCCTTTCAACTTGCGAAAATATACGCAAGGATCAAACTGGCTCCGAGTGTACGAATGACCAAGCATAAAACCATCAAATCGTCTATACCACTGTCGAGGAGACTGTTTCAAACCGTATAGCGATTTCTTCAATCTGCAAACTAATTTTTCCTTCCCTGCAGCTCGGAATCCCAATGGCTGAGTCATATATATTTCTTCATCAAGATCACAATGAAGAAATGCCGTCTTCACATCCAACTGATCTAACTCTAATCCATACTGTGCCACCAAAGCTAGCAAAATCCGAATCGAAGAATGCTTCACCACTGGAGAAAAAACCTCATTATAGTCAATACCTTCCTCCTGTGCATAGCCCTTCGCAACTATCCTAGCTTTGAACCTCAATGGAGTGCCCTCAATGCCCTCCTTCTTCGTGTATACCCACTTGCAACCAATTGCCTTCCGCCCCTTTGGAAGCTCAACAAGCTCCCATGTATCGTTCTTATGAAAAGATTCCATCTCCTCCTGCATAGCCACCTGCCACAAATCAGCCTCCGAACTCTGCTCGGCCTCTTTGAATGTAGTAGGCACCAACTCATCGATACTCTCCACTAGAAGTGCATACGCAACTGTGTCGGCATACCGTACTGGCATCTCTATGTTTCTCCTCTGTCTCCGAACCGCAATAGAATCTTGAACCTGAGCCGTCGGTTCCTGATCCTGCACATTTGTACTCGTATCCTCCGTGTCACCGTCGTGCTCGCCTGGCGTCACCTCAGTCGGCACCTGCATGGATACTGTACCATCTGGACAATGTGGAGCTGCATCGATCTCCACCACCTGCGATATCTCCTCTGTCGGGTCGCTCTCCACCTGATGAGAGCTGGGAAGCTTCAAGATAGAAGCTTCATCAAACGTGACGTCCCTACTCAGCACAATCTTCTTATCAACTGGATCCCAAAGCTTGTATCCCTTGACACCACACTTGAATCCTACAAATATGGCCTTCCTAGCTCGAGGTTCCAATTTATCAGTTCTAACATGATAATATGCAGGGCACCCAAATACCTTGAGCTAGTCATAATCGTGTGCTGGCTTTCCCGACCACATCTCCATAGGGGTCTTCCCCTGAATCGCAGATGAAGGCAGCCTATTAATGAGATGGCTCGCATATGTAAGTGCCTCAGCCCAAAAGATCTTCTCCAAACCACTCTACGACAATAAGCATCGGATCTTCTCCAGTAAAGACCGATTCAACCTCTCTGCCACCCCCATTTTGCTGCGGTGTATGACTAACTGTGAAGTGTCTCTCTATGCCCTTGTCTCGACATAGCTGCTAAAAGGGGTCAGAAGTATACTCACCACCGTTGTCGGATCGCAACGTCTTGATCTTTCTCCCAGTCTGCAATTCCAATCTGTTTTTCCACTCCACAAACAAATCTAGGACTTCACTCTTCTTCGTCATGGTGTACACCCAACATCTCCTAGAATAGTCATCTACAAAAGTGACGAACCAATGTCAACCACCAAGTGATGCAGTCTTGGTTGGACCCCAAACATCTGTGTGCACGTAGTCCAGAATACCCCTCGTCTGATGAATGGTAGTCCCGAACTTCACCTTTGTCTTCTTGCCAAGAACACAGTGCTCACAGAACTCAATCTTCCCACTCTTGGCTCCCTTCAATAGCCCCTGCTTGCACAATGCCTGCTGTGACTTTTTACCTGTGCGCCCCAATCTATAGTGCCAAAGTCTGCTCATGTCCGCTTCTGAAATAGCGGAAGCAACCTGGCCAATCTCGGTGCTTCCCTTCAGATAATACAAATTCCGATTGCGGACTCCCCTCATCACCACCAATGATCCCTTAGTAACCTTCGCTACAGCGTTTTCGAAAGTCACCTTGAATCCCTTCGCCTCCAAAGCTCCAACTGAGATAAGATTTTTCTTCAGTTGAGGAACAAATCTCACCTCCTTTAACTCACGGACTACTCCATCGTGCATCCTAATCCGTATGGTACCTATCCCACAAACGCCACAAGATTGATCATTTCCCATGACAACAACGCCCCCGTCGACTTTCTCAAAAGATGCAAACCAGTCTCGCCTAGGGGTCACATGAAAAGTAGCGCCGGAATCAAGCATCCAATCTGATGCATCCACATGGTTCACCTTCGGAGTAATCAGTAGAGAAAAGCACGAATCATCGGAATCATCGCCTTTCGCAATATTCACCTCATTGGCCTTCGGGCCCTTTTTCTTGCCATTCTGCTTCTCCTTGAGCTTCGGGCAGTCTCTCTTCCAATGTCCCTGCTCCTTGCAGAATGCATATTGGTTGTTTGCTAATTGGTGGCGGCTTCTTAACTTTGACCTTCCTCTATTACCACCTTTCAGATATGGGCTTCTACCTCTCGTCGACAAGGCCTCGCCTGAAGTGCTAGCACGGGAAGTCTCCTTGTCCTTCCTCCTCAACTCGTAATTGGTCAATGCGTTAGTCACTTCACTATAGCTGATAGAAGATCTCCCGTTCAACAAAGTGAGCACGAAGGTATCATACTCCTCATCCGGTAAGGAGCCCAACAAAATAATTGCCTTGTACTCATCCGATATCTTCTCATCAACATTCGCCAAGTCCGACAACAACTTCGTATAGTTGTTCACATGAGCCGCTAGCGAGGTGCCTCTGGACATCTAAAATCTGAAGAGTCTTCGCAGCAAGTGCAATCTGTTCTCAACACTCTTTATGAGATACTTATTGTTGAGAATTTCCCACATCTTCATTGCAGACGTCACTCCAATCACATCATATTTCAGTTCCTGTTCCAAACAGGACCTGATCACCCCACACGCGTTCCTATTCATTTTCTCCCATATCGCCTCATCATATTTAGGTGGCCTCTCATGGACCATGATGGTCTCTTCCAAATTCTGAGCATTGAGCACATCCTGTACGTCGCTCATCCACAAACCAAAGTTGATTTTACCGTCATACTTCACCACACTAATCTTAGTGTTCTGAAAACCAACTTGTATTGTACTCGCCATCGATTTGCTGCTTTCACCTTCTTCTCCCATTGCGAAC